ATCGTGACTTTTTGACTGATCTGGAGTTTGCTCGATGGCCGGGACGGCTCGTGATGATATTGCCCCTGTGATGCGCGAGGTGTAAAACTAGCCGTGGCGTGCTGCGGCACGCCCCTTTCCTTTCCTCCCCCAAACCACGATGGCGTAACATGTACTGTCTCTGGGGTGTGTTCATGGGATCGACTCACATGATATTACGACTTAATTTGGCCCGATGTACCTCTCTCGACTGGTACATGGGAGATGGGGAGATGGATGGGGGTAGCAATAGGTGTGGCAGCCACCCCACACATATCTCACTTGATAAATAAAAGCGGATGGACTTCAGGTAAAAACACCAATGAAGCAGGCAGACACGGAGTTTTGACTCGAGGTTCGACTCATCATATACTTTGACGTTCCCACCCAGCCGTCCAGTGACAGTGACGGGGTGGATAGTATGACGTTCCCTACAAGCCCGCTAATCATGTGCATGGCACGCCCTGGCCCAACTGATCTGCTGGTCCTCTGGGGGGGAGGCCCCTAGATTCCTATTCCTGGAGTAAAGGGGGGGTGGAGGATGGAGAAGCATACTTCTTATCTGGGGCAGGGTCTCAAATGTCCACGATCCAAACCCAGATGCCTATTAGGTACCTAGGCAATGTGCCATTCCATTCCAAGCAGACACAATGCCGGAAAACGGGCCAAAGGCCGCTGTCACTGCTCGAGCCCGTTTTGTCTCAGGCAGCCCGCCCCCTCCATGCCCCCCAGAGACGGTGTTTCAAGCAGCACATCCGTGGGGGAGAACGAGTGAGAGAAAGGGAGGCCGTGGCCCCAAGTCTACGTCGTCACCAGTTCAGAGCTCCAGCCTGAACGAGGGCTATCGGGCGAGAGCACACAGAGATAACGAAACCGGACATAGTTCAAGGCGATCAACTCTGTTTAGCCATCTCTACTCTCCCTTTCTCTCTCGGGACACGCCCCCCCTCCTTCTTCGGCGCTTCGCACGGCATCGACCTCAAAATGCTTGGGCTTCTGGGACAGGACGATGATCCAGGAGTGCGCGCTCTGCGAAACATTGGCGTCACTGCGCACAGCTGAGGCGGGCCCCAGGCCAGCAGGGCCACGGGGCGGCTGGCTCGGGTCGAAGCCGGGCTCTGGTCTTGGGGGGGATGTTCATTGGGGAAGACAAGATAGTGAGAGACAGACAGGCATTCAAATAGGAAGACCAAAAAAATAAAAATGACAGAACTAGTAAAGAAAAGCGTACTGGTTGGATCGACCTGCACAATTTCGGCAGAGCGGTTGCACACGCGATCCAGCCCGCGGCGCCCGCCCACGGGGAATCGGGAGACTGGGGTTTGGCAAAAGGGCATGCATGGGTTTGGATAAATGGGGGGAAGAGGCGAGGAGGAGGACATGGGATATGCGCCCGCGTCTGGGCCCAGACACTGGAGTTCGAGCTTCCCCAGCTTGGATCCCCGCGTGAGACAGAGAGAGGGGGAAGATGGGCCTCAAGAGAAGAAAAAGAAACAAAACGATGGATAAGGCTTGGGGAGCGCAGATCCGTGGCGTGGACAGTGTCTGCGCCGTGGGGTTCTCTTCTTTTTCTTTCGTTCATCTCCTTGGCGAAGGTGAGAGGCACTTCCTTAAACTGACACGCGATGGGCAGAAGTCATCACGACGACACGACACCCTCTCATCTGCAGCGGCGCGGTACTGTCGTGTGCGCCACCTGCACTCGGCTGTCTCGACGAAGATGCCTATTTGCTGCGCCGGTCTGGCGGTGAGTGAGGGAGTGCGGTGCCCTCCCACACGCACACAGACACGGACACACACACAAACCTCGACGCAATGTCGAAATCTCGCGCCTCCATGTAACGCATGCCACAAACCTGACAGGATCGTGGGGAGGGCGATACACGTTGGGGGCCACACGCCGAGTAAGGGGCCAGCAGGCGAGGGATGGACTAGTCAGTGTGCGTGGGTGTGAGGACGCGCGCAAGAGGGCATGCCCCAGTCAGACGTCAGTCAGTCAGACCGACAGACTGGGCTGAAGCGGTGCGTAGCATGGCATGGTATCGCTCACTTGCCCTGTTCCCATTCTC